AATTTTTATGTATTTTTTCATTTCATTAAAAAAAAACAACGCAAATCAAATAAAATGAAAGGCAGCAGAAGAAGAAAAAAGCTTGTGATATCTGCTCCTATTTACAACAAAAATGTGTTAATTTCAAACAATAACAAACCAAATAAAACCAAACAAAAAAAAAAACCAACTCCTCAAACAGTGACTCGTGCAAATACAAATTAAACAATTTCCTTCTCCTTCCCTTTTTTTTAAAGGAATTAATTGATCCAATGCTTTTATAACCATTTTCCAGATTATTCCGTAGTCTTATACCTTTTACCGAAGTGCRTCTGTCCTTCAAATTGGTTCGATTTTTTGGTTTAATAAACATTTMTAGTCCCTTCAAATTATAACAGCTTTCCCTTTTAACAAAATTTCTTTAAATGCTGCAGAAGCAAAGCTCAAAGCTGCCCAATGGCTTCGTTTCAAAGTGTTCAGACCTGTTGTGTGAGGCACCAGGCACGGATTTGATGCCAGCATATGAACTAGTTGCTCTGTGTTGCGTTTAGCCCAAGGCCAGCCTGCGAGTTTTGTTTACAGTGCTGTAAAACAGGGAAGGGAGCTTTGKGTCCACGTTAATTGGCCTCTAATGGATCTAACTGCAGAATAACAGTGAAAGGTGCTAAATGGCAGATGGAGGTAACATGCCCCCCCAGAGTATGATTCTGTGTGCAGTGTGCCCTCGGTGCTGCTTAATGAGCWGCTAAAGAGTCTAATGAAGGCTTGTTCAACCTTCGTAGTAATTGCTACGTGTGAGCGAGAGTTGTTGCAAAAGCTTCAGTTTTACCAGCTGATCCTGGGATTCTGCAAAATCCGCTTTTTTTTTTCAACCCGTTCAGTTTTCTTTATTTTCTGACTTTTTCAGCAGAACTGCCATATCGTTTGGTGGTCTCTCTTCTCCTCTCGCTCTGGGTCAGACTCCGGCTCGAACATGTAAGGCTGGAAGCGCCCGTTTGGATTTAAAGAGACAGCATCAAAACGAGTCAATCTGAGACRCKCCTCAGAGAAGAGGGGCTTGTGGAGTTACAGTAAGGAGGAGCTCAGACCAAAGCATCTAAGTTACGCTATATATAGACTCAAACTGAAGGATTTAAATGTGAAAAAGAAAGATTTAAAGGGATCCCCGATTAGTTGTAACATTAGACTTTATTTAATAAACACATATGTTAACTGTAAAATAAA